GAAGGGAATGAGACTTCTTGTTACTACTAGTAAGGCACTTGTTACTACTAGCGATGCACTTGTTACTAGTAGCGTGGCACTGAGACTTCGGATTGATTCCGGATTCAGATTGCTTTCAGAATGTGTTCGCTTCCTCACCAGTCTCCAGCTCGACCATGGCCAGCGGCAGGCCCGAAGCGCTATACCCTGGCGAACCCAGGTCCAGTCGGACCAAAAGAGCATACTAAGTGTAACTACCCTCGACTTCATACTTCCATTACAATCCAAGCTATTGTTTGGTGCAAACTGAATTCGGTTTAGCGTCTGCTGTGCCACCGGCCTGCGCAGGTGTCGCGAATGGTGGCACGTTGCTCACCCAGCTGGATGAGGTCGCCCAGCTGGAGACCAGCTCCTACGGAGGTCGCTTCAATTATTAGCAAAATATATTTATAATAGACCTTTCTTCCTTTTTTCTGTTGTCATTTCTATTTCTATATCAATGGCCTCCACCCTAGTAGCGATGGCCTGCAACCTAATAGCGATGGCCTGCACCTGCGAAGAGCACTTCAGGGTGAGCCACCCATGGACCATCATGGACCCATGGGATGAATGAAATGAAGCCAGGGGGGGGTAGAGGACGCTACGAACGGAGCATTTCAGGCATCGCTACGAACGGAGCGATCGGACGCTACGAGTTCGGGGCTCCTGGCCTTACTACGAACGGAGCAAGGTTCGCTATTGCTGGGAAAGTCCCAGGCGACGAAGAACTGAACTCCATATATGACAAATGGATGCCGCCATGCACCGACAATGGAGTGCTTACATAAGTGTCTGAACAGTTCGGAAGATGTCTTACTATCTTGCATCCTTGGTTGCTTCATTCTATTCTATCTCTCCTCCAATGTTTGTTGACTGGTGGAATCGCGCAGGCTGGTTTTTACAATGTGAACTGAGCAACTGACAAGATTCATAGTCTTTGTCAGGACCTGACCTCGTTGTCACAAAAAATACTCTCCCTGGAACTAACATGGAAGTGGAAAACCACCTGTCTGTTGTGCAAATTGTGTTCCAAGGGGCCATTCTCCACTTTTGCCGGGTGTTCCTACTTCCATCTTAGTGAGTCCAAGCGTATCTCTCGTACCCCTCGCCGTATGAGACATTCTGACCGCACAATCAAGAACTCTGTCCTTGGCCATACTCAGGATGAAATGAGACCATGTAGATGTCCTGCCGCAAATGCACGGCTTCGTTCGTCCTTCTTCACCCACGACCGCAACTCATGACGTCAAACCCGTTGAGACGAGACGTCAGTCATCTGTCATCCGGGTCGGACCATGTTTGTCTTCGTGCTCCTGCTCAGCGAAATAGTATCCATTCGAAAGCTCGTTCTGGTAGAACTCCTGGGGACAGTGTGACCAGTTCCGAAAGTTCAGAAGCAAACTCCTGATGCTGACACCTCAACATGGAGGCCCTGGAACCTCCATACACAAAACATGTCCCCTCCTTCCCCCTTAGATTCTGTAGCAGGAACCCATCTTCCTGAATGTCCGATTCCTGCCTTTCCCATTGAACAAAGGACGCTAATAGCAGCTCCTGGCATCGCTAGTAACAAGGGCATTAGGAACCGACCTTCCTAAATTTCCGGACTAGGCCCACGGGTCAGTTCTCCTGAAATGCCTCGAAGGATTTCCAGGCCTTCACATGAGGACAAACCAACAAAGTCGTGGCAGGTTGCCCATCCTCGAGGTCTTTCCTCGGAATCATTGACGCAATTTCACCGATGGGCTAGAAGGTGCTTGGCCGACGAATCTAGAAGGGATGCCTAATGCCAATATGGCTTCCTGAATGTAGGAAAAAAACTGGCCTGGCCAAACAACAAAAATCTCGCTGCGCAAAGCTGGTTTTCTTTTAAATCCCATGGATTCCTCAGCTATAGCTCTTGTGATTTTTTCCCGGGGCTCACGGAGTGGCACTATAGCTGGACACTGGACATCCCAATAAAATATGGCCATAGCTGGCCACCAACAAACGTACTGTTCATGTGAGAATTGCACATAAAGACCATACAAAAAGAACATCGAAACACACATGTGTCATTGACACCGAACAAAATAAATCACAGAATGGAGGTTTAGCTGCTTGAACAAAAAATGCACGTTTGCACCTGGCGCTAACAAGGAACTGAATTGGCTCATATCTCTTTTTCTCGAGATGTTTTCTATTTTCACGGGAGCAACATCGGACTGCATCTCTCCCTCTCTCTCTCTCTCTCTCCCTCTCCTTGTGAATGTGCATACTGGATCATACAGATTGGTCCTGGAAAATGTCCCTACTTAAAACATAAAAAAAAACTACAGAGTTTTCTAAGTTCTCTGCACTTATGCCGATGTATGTCACTTTTTGCCCCTTCGATCCTCTCTGTGAGGCTCAGTGGACCCTGAGGCAAACGCACCGCCTCTGCACTCAAATCCTCTAGGACTCCTTCAGGCACCTGGCGCCAAGCGGGTCGTCTTACGGGTCTCCAAGTCTAAAGACATATCGAATCTTACAAATCCTTTAGTTGATGGACTTAAGAGTCTCAAGTCTTAAGCAGGTTTAGCCTAAACTGGTTTGGATAGATAGGTTCACTCAAAACATGTGTTCTCCCTGTGCCACCAATTGCCCAGCGAATCGTCTTTCGCACTCGACTCTCGGGGCACCCGAGTGAGGGACGCGTTCTCGAAAGGAAGCTTCGTTTGATGTATACACATTAGGTTTTGTTGCTTCCTGAGGCTTCCTGTTTTTTTTTTTGGGGGGGGGGGACATGTTAGGCACAGAACTGTCCAGTTGAAACTCTTATACTCTTTCACTTGCAAGGTGCCAATGAGCCTCACTGGTGCTGGTCACCACCCTGAGGTGGCCCTGGGCAGCTGCAGGCTGCGCATAGGGGCAAAAATTATAGCCTCAAAAAGGCAACTGTGAGGTCACGCAGCCCCGCGGCCGTCAGTGCCAGAAAGGATTGAAAAGGACTTAGAAAGGAATGTCTTTGTGGAGCCTTGGACAATTGGTGTGTCGAAGCATAGGTTGCAAGTGGATGGAGAATGATGGATACACCGATTTCTGTCAAAGCTCCACATGGCTTCGCAGAACAGTAATGACTTGAATCTCTCGATATCTCTACCATGTCAGCCAACAGGTGAATAGATTCAAATATACGCGCTATAGCCACAGGGCCAATTGTCGGCTCTCATCCCAAATCCTCATCCCAGAAACCAATCACCACGTCCTGCACCCATTGCTGCACAGCTTTGGCGTGCTCATCCTCCTCCACCGCACATCGTGCGGTCCGTGATCGCCGCGCGGCCGTCCGCCGATCGCCGCGTGAAAGCGGGTGCACGGCAAGAAGGAGCGTGGAGCCTTGGGTGAAAAAGGCCGACATAAACATAGTAACAAAGGGCATCGCTACTAGTAACAAGAAGCTACTAGTAGCTCCTGGCATTACAACTAGGAACAAGAAGCTACTAGTAACAAGGGCATTACTAGGCCTAGGCTTCTGGCCTCCTTGGCCTCCAAAAGGAAACCGTTTGCTTGGTCAATGGCATGCATTCGATTTAATCAAATTGTAGTTCATGTACAGAATAATATATATATATATGCATACTGTGTAGGATAAGAATGACAGCACTCAGTACTTCATTCGTCTTATAGCGCCTCCAAGCCACCTGCCGCTCCCACGCGAAGGCTGCGCAAGTGAAGTGGGTGGTCTGCAGCCGGCGCTGGTGCCCACGGCGCTGGTGAAGGACACATCCGTGGCACCAGCGGCAGCTGCATGGCACAGCCCGGGCAAGCTTTGTCCCGGGAAAGCTTTGGCTGGAAGTTCTGGCCACGTTTTTGGGGACATGAATTCATGAGGTGCTAAGCTGTTAGGTAAAAAGGGATTGCCTAAAGCAGGTGCTGCATGCAGTTCGACCCTCCGGAAGTGTTTGTTCTTTCTTTCTTGTTGGGCTCCTGACAGAAACATGCTTATCCAGAGTTTTCCTCTGCAGCCAGCTTGGCTGAAGATTCTTGTCCGTTTTTGGCGAAGCCGTGTGGGACATGGCATGAACATGATAGGCTTGGTTGATGCGTTGAGCTGAATCAATGCCGCTCAAAGCCAAGAGCGTCCCTTCAAGACTCACCAGCTGGGCCGAGGAATCTCCAGACCCCAGTTGATCGGGCGCATCTCAGGAATCTCCAAAAATGACGTTTGAAACACGGCAACTGATCACACTACGCTTCTTTTGTTGATACGTCATCTCCAATGCTTTCTCTATACGTCTCTTCCATGTGAACCTGAACAGTGGCCAATGGTCCTGCTTCATTTCAGCGGACGTTGTCCAGTAATCCTCCTCCTTGCCTTGGCGCTTCTTGTGCTCAATGAGTGCTCAACACCAAGGGTTGGCGGCTCTTTGGATCCTTTGGGCTCAAGTACGATGGACAATGTGTCCATTGACGCCTAAGTTAAGCGGTCAAGTTTTGCATAGCAAGTGTTTATTTATGTTGGGCAAACCCATCTTTATGCCTGATACGTTTGGTGTGTGGCTTTGCTCTGACTCCTTGAAGCTCCAAGCCACACGATGATCTTCAAGCCTACCCTCTTGTGCCTTTGACAGGTCCCACACGAATGTTCGAGAGGTTCATCCTTCAATTGCTCTGTTAGGTTGGAGGCCATTGCTTCCAGGGTGCAGGCCATCTAGTAGCAAGAAGCTCTTCGACCTTGACCCTAAACCCCTAAACCTCCCTTGCTGCTCTCAGAGTCCATCCCACACGGCCAGCTTGTCCACAGGCACCCGGGCCAACATATATCCGTTTTGATCGGCTGGTGCTGAGGCCGGGCAGGTCTTTCAAGGCTTCACCTCAGGGTCGCACCCGAACCCTGTACTGGCCCTGCACCTGGGTAGATGCTAGGAGTCATGTATAACATTGCGTCTACATATATATATATATATATATTGTTGTGAGAACACAACAAAGGTAGCAGGTGGAGCGAAAACGAAGTGTTCCCACGGGTCCAAGCGCACAAGGTCTTGGGGAAGTTCTCTCTCTTGCTATGCAGCGGCCGCAGGTGCTTTTCTCACGGCCAAGCAGTAGCCGTCATGGCTCGTTCGGATCGATCGCCCGCCCTTTCTTGAGGCGTGCGAGGTAGCAAACATGTCAAAGCAAGTTGCGTGGCACGAAACTCACACTGGTGGTGAAATCCTCGTAAAAAAAAACGTTCGCAGCTCTTCCATCAAAAGTTTGGATTCGGGCCAGCAGGTCCTTGAGGCTCTGCAAACAAATCCCCGTGTGTCGTGGACCAGTGAGCTCCTCCAGGTGGCGCAGAGGGTTGGCTCCTATCCCACAGAGTGTGGGCACAACACGAACAGGGCAAGCGCTCGAAGATCGGACCTGGGGTTCTTCCAGCAAGGCACTTCCGACTTGCGTGCCAACAGGATCCCTGCCCAGCCAAATAGATGGGCTTCAAAGAACTGCGCTGCCGTTCGACCTTGAGTCTCTGCTCGAAGTCATCGGCATTCTTCTTTTTCAGCTTCTCATACTCTGCCGCCCAAGTGCGGCATTCCTTCGCAGCTTGGAGACCTTTTTGGCGAGTCTCCTCGAGCTCGGCTTTCAGCTCCTGCAAGAAGGTCCTGCCGTCGCTCTGTCTGCGTGAAGGTGTCCGTGTAGTCCATGAACTCTGTCTCATAGACTTGCGTGGTGCTTTCTGAAGTTGAAGCTTTTGTGAATGTGCTATTGAGGGTTGTCCATGCCTTTGTCACCAGCTTGGTGACTGCAAACCACATGAAGACACCGATGAACATGGTGAAGAGGATCAAAAACATGAAGGTGTTATCAAAGGGCTCTTCAGGGGAGTTCGTGGTGTTCATGGCGTAGGTGGTCCTGAACATGCAGCTAGCCATCATAGCAGCTAAAGCTCTGTCATACAGGATCTCAACCTTTGGGCCAGGAGGGTTGCACCGCTTTGCTTGGTCAAACCATCAGCATATTGAAGTTCACTGCTGACCCACGCTGTTTTGCCGTGGCAACAAGCAAGCTTGTCCTGACAGACCAAGGCCTCGATGGTGGTCCTCTTGTCGGCGCTTGTTGCGGCTTGGATCTCATCCTTGGTGAGGACATCAAACAATGCTTTTGCATCGATGACCAGACGTGGCTGGTGAGGAAGCTGTCCACTTTCAACTTGATTGAGTGGTAGGAATGGCTTCCAAATGAGATTCCAAAACAAAACTGCAAACATCAAGGCATCGGAGGCATCACAGGCAGCTTGAGCTTCAGCTGAGAGAGTGCTTCTTGCAATTCGGGGCAACTTCCAAGATCGCCAGTCCAAAACATTATAGTAGCCCTCGGAGAGTCCAGCTGCCACATCTTTATGGCACATGGCCAACAAGTAGCCGCCTTGGCTGTTGTTGCCACTTCTACAAGCAAAGGAGGCGTCGGAGTAGACGATGAAGTTCATTTCTCCTTTGGTGCCAAGGTGTCGGTAATCCAGGCCAACGTCAGCAAACTCTTTTGCAAAGCGCAAATGTTTGTTTGCCAGCTGTAGTGTCTGTATTGTTGCTCTTGAGGTTTCGCCAGCCAACATGGATATTCCGACTTGTAAGTGTGGTGCTGTCTGTGTTGCAGGCCACTGTAGTCCGCCAATGAGGCCACGCAGCAAAGATCGTTCACGATCGGTGACAGGTGACTCTGGCGTTTTGGCACGATCTGTGGCTATGGAGATTGGTTTGACTTTCTTGATATAGTCCTCTTGGGAAAGTCGGAGCACATCTTCCTTGTGAAGGAGTTGGCTTCCACAGTATTCCAGCTCATCGGAATCTTGCCACTCACGGAAGGTGAAGATGCCGTGGAGCTTTTCCTTCAAGGATTTGAAGTGAGGACTACCAAAATCACCACAACCAATCAAATCATCAACGTGGATGCCAAAAACTGCAGTCAGTGGTCTTTCGGTCTCTTCAGTGACCTCCTCATTGGTGGGCTCGTAGCACATGAACAGGCAGGCGTCCAAGGGATGTCGGACGATGGTGCCAGCACCAGCTCGAAGGATTCTTTCAGCTGCCTCCTCATACCATGCACGGGGTGCATCACAGAGACCGTACATGGGCTTAACGAGCTTCATGACCGTAGAGTCATGAGGATCAAGGCCAAGAATCTGCTTTGCGTCAGAGGGAAGCTTGATCCAGATTTCTCTGTTGGAGTCGGCCTTGAAGTTCTTCCCTTGGAGGAAGGCTGTTGTGATGTCGCTGGTGAACATGTGCCAATGGTGCATCATGCAAATGCTCAGGATGAAGCCACGAGAAAGTCGTGTGAGTGTTGGAGCGTTTGTGGTCAAGGAGCCACTCAAAGCGTCTGGGTCCTTGAACCCCTGAGTGATGAGCCGGGCTTTCGCTCGTGGTGTGCCATCTGGGTTCTTCTTCCAGGTGAGGATGAAGTGAGCTTTAAGAACCCTCCCAGGTGAGGCATTGTCTTCTTTGTCATAGAGCCATACCTGGTTTTGGAAGAATGAGTCCAGTTCCTTCTTCTTTGCGTTCAGGAAGGCCAAACGATCAGCAACACTCATCTTTCGTTCTGTGACTTGGTCCTTGCCCTTCTTCTTCACGCCCGCTGGAGTTCTTGGAATGTAGGTGGGAAGACCGCCGCTGGCCTTAGCATAGTCTTCTTTTGCTTTTTGTCGCCAGTTGGCTTTGAGCTTGAAGCGGGTTTGACCGGTCCACATGGCTTCTTCGATCAGCTTGTTGTGGCTGTGTCGTTGCCATCTGTCGTGAAATACACCATGAGTGGTGTTGGTGACTCGGTCTTTTGCAAGGAAGCTCACATCTATCGGGCAGTTGTCTTTGGTAGGCTTGAAGGCTTCTTTGCGTGGTTCGTAGTGGTGCGTGATGAGCCAATTGCCATTGATGGTCCATTCATCTTGCGGTGCATCAAGGGTGAGCCAGCCGTTTTCTAAATGCCATCCGGGTGGAAGGTTTTCCACCTTGGTCAAGTCGACGTCCACTTGAAGGCTGATGTCTTCTTCTTCATGGACCTTGCTGTATGGTGTTGTTCTGGTTGAAGCAGTGGGCTTGACTGGACCATAGGATGTTGGCATCTTAAATGACAGGGTTTCCTGTTTGTCAACTCTGGCTCTTTGCTGTTGAAATGTTTCCCCTGGTTGTGGGGGTGTGTACAGCTGTTGTTGATGTTCCGGAATGGTAGGAGATTCCACTGGAGGCACGTTTGCCTCTGGAGCCGGTGGATCATCACTGCGCGCCGGTGGTGCTTCTGGCATTGGGGCTGGAGGCGGTGCCTCTGGTTGTTGTCCTGTTTCTGGTTCCATCGGTTGGTCATCGCCATCTGGCTCTGGATTGTCGTCTGGCGTCTCAGGCATGAAGAGACGATGGAGTGTGTCATCTGAGTCGGATCCTTTGTGATCCTCAATCATGAAGGTCGTTGTTCCTGTCCACTTGTAATGTAGGGGTCTGCCAGCATCAGGTGTTCTCCATTCATCTCGCATGCGGATGTGTTCTGGATGTGGTGGTTCTCGATGGATGCTGGTGATCCTCTCGCTGGTGAAGCGATCAAGAGGAACATCTTCAGAGTCTGGAACATACAGTTCTCGTCGAGGATGATTGTGGATCCTGGTCCAGGTCTTTTGGTCATCACTGACCTGCCAGTGGTCGTGGTAGGTTGGTGCATTGGGCTCGGTCTGCATGAGGTCATCTGGTTCATCCACTTCTTCATCGCTGTCAACTTCATGTCGCTGTCTCTTGTTGGATCGGATGAGGTCGATGAAGAGTGTGGTGCCTCGGTTCCTCACTCCTTGGATGGCTTGTTGAGCTTTCTTGAAGGGGTCAGTGCCATCATCTTCTCCTGGTTCCTGCATGGCTGTTGGAACCGGCTTGAGGTGCTCTGGCGCTGCACGAAGAAGGTTGCTTCCGTGCACAAGCCAATAAACTTCAGCATGAGGTCCCGCATGGGCATTTTCCTTCATGACGATGCGAGCTGGTCCACGCCATCGGAGCTTGGGTCCAGTTCCGCCAGGTGCATCACGGTAGTAGTAGCAGAGGTCGCCAAGGGCAAATTGAGAGACTTGCCCAGTGAACTTGCGCAGCAAAGCTCTTCTCAAGCGTTGATCAAGATCGGCTGCAAAAACTGCATTGGCGGCTGCTTTCTGACGGTGGAGCTTGGTCATGAACTCCTCAGTGGCATCAAGTGTCGGTGGAACCATTGGTTCTTCGAGGAGTAGGCCAGGGATTCGTGGTGTGTATCCCAAAACCCATTGCACTGGAGAGTAGCCGTGGACATTGGTGCTTCTGTTGATCTGTGGCAGTACATAGCAAAGGGCTCGAATCACTTGGTCTCGTGGTGGTTCATGTTGTTGAGCCTCTTTCTGATCTGCCAGGAAGTTCTCGAGTGCGCGACGAGTGACTTGATGTCGACGTTCCAGGATTGACAACCTGGTGTGGCTTTGGCCAGGAGAGATTTGAAGTTCGATCCCCTGTTCGGAGCACCAGTCTCGGACATCTTGTGAGGCCCAGGCACGATGGTCATCAACTTGAAGTAGCTTCATAGGGCCAAATGTTCGTAGCCATCCACGTTCAAGGGCTTGGATGAATTCCTTGGGCTTCTCAGCTGGTAGAAGACGTCCAGCTGTGTAGCGTGTGGAGGCATCAGTGATCATCAAGATGGGAAGTGCTCTCTGCTTGGAGGATACCTTCAGCCACATGGTGTCTGCTTGTACTCGCTCATTGAAGCATAGAGTACGAGGAATCGAAGACACTGGTACTTGGGTGGTGGTTGTACTGCGTGAGGTGAAGTGAGGGCGTCATGTTCTTGTGGTTCCGGTGGTTCTGTAGGTGTGTAGTCGGAGTTGTTTTCTTCTAGTTTCATCTCTCTTTCTTCCTTCTTCATTTTTATAGAGGCGGTCAATTGCTTCTCCAATGTACCAGCAAAAGGTCTCCTGGTACGCGGCAGCAGCCTGAGTCAGTGAGCCGATGCCAGGAAGGCTACCTTCAAGCTGTAGGTGTTGATGATCGCCAGGGCATGTCCAGGCGAGATCTTCTGCCATCTGTTGATTTGTCAGCTGAAGGCGAGTTGGCTTCTTGATGTAGTAGTCGGCGATCATGGCATCAAAGGCACATTGATCCAGGTGGCAAGCGTAGCCAGGAAGATCATGCCAGGTCTTGGTGTTCCAGGCCTCACTGAGTTTGGGATGTTCAATCCCAGAGTCTCTTCCTTCACGGTGTTGGGTGTCATAGGTCCTGCGAGAAAGCTTGAGATGCACAGCTTCGTTGTAGTCCCGCTCGCACTGCAGGGCAAAACGCTGCTGTTCGGTCTTCAGGTTGATGTTCTGCATGTGGCTCCACTTCTTGCATGAAGGTGCAATCCAAACAAAGTCAGGGGCCACCTCATCAAGGAGCTTGAAGTACTCATTGCGATGAGAGGGCTTGTCAAAGTCCCAGCCGGTGTTGTAGTCGAAGCTGAAGACCTTATAGCCGCGTCGGGCCATTTCTTGAGACAAAAGGCCACAACCAGAGTAGACCTCCCAGAAGATCTTTTGTCCAGCTTCGTGGGCACGAAGTCCATGTTCAAGAACCTGGTGCCGGTGTGCAAGTTGTTGAGCATGATGAAAACGCATGCCCTTCATGAGCTTCTCGGTGATGTTCCGTCGGACGAGGGTTTCCTGCTCATCGTCAGGATCAAAGAGGTCTGAGGTGGTCACGTTGGACTCAGCTTTGTGGTTCTCATCATCAGCGACGTGAAAGGCCAGTTCAGGTGGATCCCGACTGGTGGCATCGAGGTACTGCTGCAAGGTGTAGCCATTGGAGTGTCCTTGACTATGGTCAGTCACGAGGTCAAAGGTCTCGGCAGTCACCAGGTCAAACTGGACCTCCTTCCCTTCGGGATCTGCAGTGACGCCGTCGTCGAACTTGATGAGGAACTCACCTTTCTGACCAAGAGTGGCAGGTTGCCAAGGACCGTTGTCGAAGGAGTACCAGTCGTTCTCCCAGTCGACCTTGATCTTCAGGGCCTTCAGAATAGGCCTGCCCACCAACATAGGCGTTGAGCCATCGACCACAAAGCATTCAACCAGGCCTGAGCGTCCATTGACATAGATGGGAAGCTTCACGGTCCATTCTGCATGCCGCATGGCGTCGCCGCCGAATCCAAACAGCTTGGAGGAGGGGTAGAACACATAGCGCTCAACGGGGGCCCCCTTGGAATGCATGTGGACAATGATTTCCATCAAAACGCTGTGGCCACAAACCAAACTGCTAGCACCGCCATCTTGCATGCCGAACCAGCCTGCTTCAGAGATGGGTGGAGGTGGAGCTTGAGCAAGATCACGAACCATGAAAGCTTGTCCACTCGTCTTGGTGCTTGAGTCAGTTTTGGCTCTCTTTGGTGAAGTGCTTGGTGAGGTCTTTGATTGCTGAGGGCATTCTGCAGCGGCATGGCCAAATCTTCCACACTTGAAGCACTGCATTGCGCTGAGTGCAGTGCGGCCACGTTGAAGGGCTGTTCCTTTTTGTGGTGGTGCTTTTCCTTTGCCCTTCCCTTTCTTGCCCTTGCTTCCTTTCACAACAGGTCGCTGCGACGAGGAAGAGGTGGATGAAGTGAACTCTGAGGTCAAGGCCACGACGGGGTAGTAGCCTCTGGAGGCCTTTATGTTCGCCAGTTGGCGTCGAGCGTCCAGGTAGGTGGCGTATGCTTCCTCAAACTGAGGGTCAGCACTCTCTTCATTCCATTCTTCGCCATAGGCCTCTTCTTCGAAGGTGCCGTGGGCGAAGTCAGGGTCCTCATACTCTTCAAGGTTGAAGTCATCCTCAAAGACTTCTTCATCGGCTTGGAGGAAGGTCTCTTCCGGGTCGGCTTCATAGTCCTCAGGGTCATACTCTTCAGCCGTGTAGGCCTGGCTCTTCTTGGCAGGGTACCATCTGCTTTTGTTCAGCTTGTTCTTGTTCCAGGCGGGTCGTTCGGCTTTGGTCTTGTAGTCCTGACCAAACAGGTAGTAGAGGACGGACTCGACCTTCTCCATGTCAAGCTCTGGACCAACCTGAGCTTGCACAAGGTGTTTCTGTTCCTGCGTCAAATTTGACCGTCTAAGCAACAGCCAGCCACTGCCGCTGGAGGGGATCTTGATCTCAAACTTCTCGATTTCGCGAAGGAGCTCGCGATGTTCTGAGCAGTACTGGAGCATAGTCATTTCTGACTTCCTGGTGAGCTGGTAGAAGAAGCGCTCCAATGCTCTAGGCATTTCGACTCGTGAGTCGTACTTGAAGGCCTTGTCAAGGGCCTGGAGGATTCTGTCGAATCCATCGGAGGCGTCGACCAAGGAGTCGGTCATGTGCTCCACTTGGCGCCAGGCGGCGCCATTCAAGCTCGTGAGCGGAAGCCATGCCCTGGAGCTAAGGTAGCTCCGCTACCAATGTTGTGAGAACACAACAAAGGTAGCAGGTGGAGCGAAAACGAAGTGTTCCCACGGGTCCAAGCGCACAAAATCTTGGGGAAGTTCTCTCTCTTGCTATGCAGCGGCCGCAGGTGCTTTTCTCACGGCCAAGCAGTAGCCGTCATGGCTCGTTCGGATCGATCGCCCGCCCTTTCTTGAGGCGTGCGAGGTAGCAAACATGTCAAAGCAAGTTGCGTGGCGCGAAACTCACATATATATATATACACACTGGACAAATGAGCATCCTCTAGCATGCGTAAATGGCAGCTTCGTTCGTAGGTCTCAAGGACCTACAAGGGCTTCCAGTTCTTGAGGGAACAACACAACAAGCCTCAATTTTTCTCCAAAATAGGTGCCTGAAATCTGCTTGCTTTCCATTGCTTCAGTCTAACCCGGGGTTCCTTAAGGTGACAAGTGAACCACCCTCAGCTTCCAACAAAGAACGCTGTAGACCTGGTGACGGCCGAGACCGGGGGCAAGACTTCAACGTCCACCGAATTACCATGACAACAGTTGGAGCGACGTTGGGTTATTGTATATAAATCTATATATAGCTATTGACTGCTCCTGGCATCGCTACTAGGAGCAAGGACGCTACGAACGGGGCTCCTGGCCTTACTACTAGGAACAAAAAGCTACTAGGGGCTCCTGGCATCGCTACTAGGAGTAACGACTGCTCATCTCTCCAAAAGTAACAGCACCTCAGAATCTCCACACGCATCGCCCAAACTCTCTACGTCGCTACATCTCCGTGCGCCTCCATGGGGCCATAGGTGGTCGTCAAGACCTCAGCGGGAGACGGGGAGTTGAAGGGATTGAACTGTTGGAAGTCGAGGTCGAACGGAAAGTGCACCGTGCAAGGCATGACTTGACCAATGAATGGAAGTGGAAAACGACATGGTTTGCAGGTGTTTCAATTGACAAGGACCATCTTGAGGGAGGCTGCGAAAAGCACGTGATGGAAACAAAGTGCATGCATAAACATCCTCAACGAAGAGTTGATCACTCTCTCTTTGCTCACACGTAGAGCGTGTCAGCCCTCCCCCATTCCAGGTCAGCCGCAAGTCATTTCCGAAGACGTATTCTTAGTCTTTCGTAGAACGCCCCGACGAACGCCCCCTGGCTCTCAGGGGAAATTCGGGGGGCCCGGGTTCCTGTCAGGTCTCTCAAACCCTGACAGCGTCCCGCGACACACGGAGCCTGGAACGTCCAAAAGTGTAGTCTGTGCGAAACGGAAGCATCGAACAAGCCACGCAGACGTGGGTCGTCGGGCGTTTGCAACCAGGATCTCTGAGTTTGTGAGTTAATTAAGCAACCATATATGAGCGGAGAATGCCGAGGTATGCATATATATTTTTTTGCATATCATATTCAGTGGGTCACTTCCCTGGCTTAGGCCGCATCCAAAAGGTGGAGTGTCAAGACTTTGAAGGTCTCTTCACTTTCGTCCGGATTCCTTTCAACGGGATCCCTTCCGTCCGGCTCTACCGATGCAATCGCTTCCCACAGTCCTTTGCGCTGTGCGGCTACCGCTCGCTTGACCACTTCCAGCTGTTCGATGAGTCATACACCACCGGCATCACACCCCAAATGCCACTGATCCAAACTCTATGGATCGTGAACCAGGCTGGGACGATACCAGGACATCCCTCACGTCAGTCCCTGATGTTGAACTATCAGAACTGAACTGGAAAGAAGAGCACATGGCAAAAACGACACTGCTGAAGCATGTTTCTGGACCCTTCTTCGCTTAATACCCTCAAGTTCAACATAGTTGTTTAAGTGCAAACTCCACACACCAACCAACTCAGGTCCAACTCTAAGAACGCACAGCCGGGAGTGATCTAAGCAAGTCTCATGAAACAAAAGCTCGGCGCCGCAGGATGCTCCGCGGTCGCGAAATCGGGGCTCTCGAAATGGGGCAAGTCGAGACGACCATTTTGGGGCGCAGATCAAACGTAGGGATCCGCAGCCCCAGCACTTCGACAGGTGTGTTCAGTGTGTTCTGAAAACTAATCGGTTTTCATTGTGTAATCAGGTGCAATCCTATAGTAAAACAACTTGAAAGGAGTCGTCCAAGTTGGTCAGGTCTAAGTGTCTAAAAGGTAGATAAGACACGGTGTGACACGGTGCTCTTCTTACCCACTTCGCGAGCACAGAATCTCTCGCGGGAAGGGGGAGATAACGTCCTTCCAACTCCTTCAACCTTGGAAGATTCAGCTAGAAACAAGTGTATCATCGCTACTAGTAACAAGGGCATCCGACTGTGAAGTCATTTTCACCCAAACATGTTTCGGATCGATTGCGCACCATGTGCTGAAGCGGCTGAAGGTGTTTCTTCCTCTCCGGCTTTGGCCGAGCAAATCACCAGCGCCAATCGTTGGGTTTGTTTGCAATCTCCATCTGCCTCTCAGCACGCACCAAGGCTTCTCCTGACCAAACATTTCTCCCATCAGAGAACTGAATTGCATCGCATGTGACAGCGAAGGGTCTGTCAATGGATGGCCAACACCTCAAGCGATAGCTGCGTCATGGCATGTTACTTGGAACAGGAACATGTCCTAAGCAACCACACTCCTGAAAAAGTAGTTTAAACATTTAACAATTTCGGTTTATACATTGAAAATTTACCTCCTAAGCAAGTGAAAATTCGACCATTCACAAGGCAAGCAAGGCACGTGATAGTTCACAACCAAAAAAATTCACCAACTTAAATAAATCCTTCTTGTAGGTTGGGGGCCATTGCTTCTCGCGCTTCTAGGTTGTAGGCCATCAGGCAAGTCCTTCCTTCTTGGGAATTCTGGTGGAAGACTTCTCCACATGCCCTGCCCCATCCCGACAGCCCGGTCCAAGGAGACGGACTCCAGCGGCCACGGCGGCAGCGGTCAAGGCGCTGATGAGCACTTTAGCAGTACCATCCTCTCGCGGCCAAGGCGCATGGAGAATTGGGATCCAAAGTGGAGATAGCACATGAATGCACATGAGATAGTAAGTCAATACACAAAATCATGTGGAAAAAACACCCAACGACATGACCAAAATGGAGCCGACATTCTGTGTAAACAAGTGCTGTCTATATAAATAAATATATATCATTAAGTATCTATCTATCTCTCTGTCTCTCTTTCTCTCTCTCTCTCTTTCTTACCCGCTTTCTAGAAGCAGGGGGTCAAGCCGCGACATCACCAACCTTGACCAACGAAGCTGGGTGACATCGCGGGATATGGGACTTGTCCAGTCCCATGTACCTGCTCTAGTCTAGTGGGTGGTTCTTATGCGTCGCCCGGCAGACTTGTCTGTCCGTTCCCTTTCCTTTTCAACCCTGATGGAGCGATTCGTCCGTTTCGCTTTCTAAACGGAGGTTTTATCTTCTTTTTACCTACTTAAAGCGGTTCACCCGTCTCGTTCCATAATAACCTCTCTAGCGGCCGCGCTTGCGCTTTGCATTTCAGCCGACGACATTGTTGAAACACCTTCAAGTGCGCTGACTTACCACCTTTCCGTTCTGCACTAACTAGCCAGTCAAGCGATCCTGCATTTCTGAATAACACCTTGAAATTGATGTTCCCTCACCGGAACTTTGAGTCTAAGTGTGACCTGCTGCGTCTTCCCACTTGGGTGTGCAGTGTGATGCGTGCAAGGGGCGCCGAAACCAGTCCGGATTGCCGTTGTCTGAACTTTCGTTTGTGCTCGGGAAGCCTTTTAACTGCACAGCTGACTTGCAAGGATAGCCTGAATAAAGACTGACGAACTCACGGGAATTCTACTGAATATCCACCGCTCAGCATGACATGTTCGATCGATGTGTTTTTTACTTACATGCTATATGACTTTTCATGTCACCGGACTTTTTCAAGTCTATAGTACTTTCCATCAGACTGCCTGCAACTACTTTCTCTCTTGCCCTTTTCCGTTCGCTCTTTCTCTCCCTTTCTCTGTCTTTCTCAGGCTTGTTAGGTGGCTAGTCATGCAGATATCATTCAGGCAGCGCCGGAATCGACGTCCGTTCACCAACACCTGCTGGTTTCTAATTTGCCGTTCATTCGGCACCCATGCTCGATAGATATCCCACAGACTGCCTGTAACTACTCTATTACGCCTAGTCTTGCCCTTTTCCTTTTGCTCTTTCTCCCTTTCTCTATCTTTCTATTCAGGCAGCGCCCGAATCGCCTGCTGGTTCCTAATTGCCGTTCATTCGGCACCCTTGCCTGGTAGGCTTGTTGGGTGGCTACTCAGGTAGATATAACTCAGGCAGCGCCGGCATCGACTTCAGCTCACCAACTTTTATCTTGCGGTTCACTCGACACCCTTGCTTGGACGATCTGCAACCAACTGCATGCGCTTACTTACACCTACTTTCTCTCTTGCCCTCTTCCTCTTGCTCTTTATTCCTTTCCTTTTATTTCTAAGGCTTGTTAAGTGGCTACGTAAAGGCTTAGCACGCTTTTAGCATGTTTCTAGCAGCGCCGATTCGGCACTTTGTGTGTCAACGCCCATTTCCAGGGTCTCTACTCTTGCTCCTTTATTTTTTTAAATCTCGCTTTCTAGCAGCAGGGGTCAAAGCGTGATATCACCAACCTTGACCAACGAAGCTGGGTGATATCGCGGGAGATGGGACTTGGCCAGTCCCATGTACCTGCTCTAGTCTAGTGGGTGGTTCTTATGTCGCCCAGCGGACTTGTCTGTCCGTTCCCTTTCCTTTTCAACCCTGATGGAGCGATTCGTCCGTTTCGCTTTCTAAACAGGAGGTTTTTTCTTTTTACCTACTTAAAGCGGTTCACCCGTCTCGTTCCATAATAACATTATGGAACCTACCTCTCTAGCGGCCGCGCTTGCGCTTTGCATTTCAGCCGACGACATTGTTGAAACACCTTCAAGTGCGCTGACTTACCACCTTTCCGTTCTGCACTAACTAGCCAGTCAAGCGATCCTGCATTTCTGAATAACACATTGAAATTGATGTTCCCTCACCGGAACTTTGAGTCTAAGCGTGACCTGCTGCATCTTCCCACTTGGGTATGCAGTGTGATGTGTGCAAGGGGCGACGAAACCAGTCCGGATTGCCGTTGTCTGAACTTTCGTTTGTGCTCGGGAAGCCTTTTAACTGCACAGCTGACTTGCAAGGATAGCCTGAATAAGTGCTGACGAACTCACGGGAATTCTACTGAATATCCATCGCTCAGCATGACATGTTCGATCGATGTGGTTTTTTACTTACATGCTATATGACTTTTCATGTCACCGGACTTTTTCAAGTCTATAGTACTTTCCATCAGAAGACTGCCTGCAACTACTTTCTCTCTTGCCCTTTTCCGTTCGCTCTTTCTCTCCCTTTCTCTGTCTTTCTCAGGCTTGTTAGGTGGCTAGTCATGCAGATATCATTCAGGCAGCGCCGGAATCGACGTCCGTTCACCAGCACCTGCTGGTTTCTAATTTGCCGTTCATTCGGCACCCATGCTCGATAGATATCCCACAGACTGCCTGTAACTACTCTATTACGCCTAGTCTTGCCCTTTTCCTTTTGCTCTTTCTCCCTTTCTCTATCTTTCTATTCAGGCAGCGCCCGAATCGCCTGCTGGTTCCTAATTGCCGTTCATTCGGCACCCTTGCCTGGTAGGCTTGTTGGGTGGCTACTCAGGTAGATATAACTCAGGCAGCGCCGGCATCGACTTCAGCTCACCAACTTTTATCTTGCGGTTCACTCGACACCCTTGCTTGGACGATCTGCAACCAACTGCATGCGCTTACTTACACCTACTTTCTCTCTTGCCCTCTTCTCTTGCTCTTTCTTCCTTTCCTTTTCTTTCTAAGGCTTGTTAAGTGGCTACGCAAGGCTTTGCACGCTTTTAGCATGTTTCTAGCAGCGCCGATTCGGCACTTTGTGTGTCAACGCCCATCTCCAGGGTCTCTACTCTTGCTCCTTTATTTTTTGAATCTCGCTTTCTAGCAGCAGGGGTCAAAGCGTGATATCACCAACCTTGACCAACGAAGCTGGGTGATATCGCGGGAGATGGGACTTGACCAACGGCTTCACCCGTCTCGTTCCATAATAACATTATGGAACCTACCTCTCTAGCGGCCGCGCTTGCGCTTTGCATTTCAGCCGACGACATTGTTGAAACACCTTCAAGTGCGCTGACTTACCACCTTTCCGTTCTGCACTAACTAGCCAGTCAAGCGATCCTGCATTTCTGAATAACACATTGAAATTGATGTTCCCTCACCGGAACTTTGAGTCTAAGTGTGACCTGCTGCATCTTCCCACTTGGGTGTGCAGTGTGATGCGTGCAAGGGGCGCCGAAACCAGTCCGGATTGCCGTTGTCTGAACTTTCGTTTGTGCTCGGGAAGCCGTTTACAGTACAGTTAGCCTGAATAAGTGCTGACGAACTCACGGGAATTCTACTGAATATCCATCGCTCAGCATGACATGTTCGATCGATGTGGTTTTTTACTTACATGCTATATGACTTTTCATGTCGCCGGACTTTTTCAAGTCTATAGTACTTTCCAACAGACTGCCTGCAACTACTTTCTCTCTTGCCCTTTTCCGTTTGCTCTTTCTCTCCCTTTCTCTGTCTTTCTCAGGCTGTGTGCGTGCGCATTTGTCTCTAAGAAAAAGAACTATACTGTTTGAGTTAGGCCTGCATTCTGGTCGCCAACACCGGAGAAACAATGAGATTGAAAGTGAAAAGGGGTAGCCGCACTCCTCTGCGCCTAATGCACAACCAGCTGGGTTGAAGGATGCATATGTGAGACGATACTCCACAATCATCCCGAAAAAAAAACATCTGCACGACAGTACAACAATCTTATTATACAAGGACGCTAATTACTAGGGGCTCCTGGCCTTACTACTAGGAACAAGAAGCTACTAGGGGCTCCTGGCATCGCTACTACGAGCAAAGGACGCTACTGGGGGCTCCTGTGCAACGTCCTTGAGATCTGCACCTCAGAAAGAAGACTCATTAGATGCGCCGAGTGTCCGTCAACAACCTAACTCTGATTCAGTCTTCCTTACAAGCGATGGCCTCCAACCTAAGAGCAATGGCCTCCAACCCAATTGCGATGGCCTCCAACCTAATTGCGATGGCCTCCAACCTAATAGCGATGGCCTCCAACCTAATTGCGATGGCCTCCAATCTAATAGGGATGGCCTCCAACATAATAGCGATGGCCTCCAATCTAATAGCGATGGCCTCCAACCTAATCAATAGAGATGGCCTCCAACCTAATAGCCATGGCCTCCAACCTAATAGTGATGGCCTTCAACCTAATAGCGATGGCCTCCAACCTAAGAGTGATGGCGTCCAACCTAATAGCAATGGCCTCCAGCCTCCAACCTAATAGCGATGGCCTCCAACCTGCTAGCGATGGCCTTTAACCTAATAGCGATGGCCTCCAACCTAAGAGTGGTGGCGTCCAACCTA